GCTGTCAAGCATCTCAAAAGATGAATTTAGACAATGTTTTGAAAAATGGAATAAAAGACTAGACAAGTGTATTAGGGTAAGTGGAGAGTACTTTGAAGGGGACTGAAGGTTTGTGCTTAAAATTTGAATAAATAAGTTTAAAAAAAATAAGTTTGGTTTCTTTTGGGTACCCCCTCGTATTCACAAAAATTATCCTTAACGAAACAGGATTCAAACGGCACTAATGCTGTTAACCATTAACTAGTATTAACAACAGAGTGTCTTGCAGCTGTTGCACTCATCTCACTGCAGCATGTGATGTTACGAGGAGAGAGGGTGCATCTTGTTTGGTACAACTGCCAGATTGCGACGTGTGGAAAGCATACCCTAATGATTTTGTGTGTTGCATCCTGTTGCGTGTCATGTACACTCAGAATCTTTACATCTGTTGACACAACAGTTTGTTATAAAAATATACAACTGTAGATTATTTACATTAAAATTTTAAAAACACGACGTGTTTCAACCATTATTTGGTTATCATCAGGTGTATTGTTTGCACTTGGGCACTGAACTTGTTTTTTAACATGGATCCATATTTTGGATATGACTGTGTATAACGCGTGATATTATGCTCGGTAACAAAAATCTTGGTATTATATAGTTTTTAGCCCAATTATGTTTATATTAGATATAATTAGTTAAATTAATATATTGTCTAGTTGAAGGTCAAAATTAAGATTGAAATATGTATGTATATATCTATTAGTTATTTTGCTGGTATACTGGTCACTCTGAAGAGCCTTGTCATTTTGATGAGTTTAACCAATCACTGATACCCTCGAAATTTCTTTTCGGATATTAAAATATTTTTCAAACTTTACAGAATATTAAGGCTATTTAAATTCTGGAAGTTCCAGATTTTCAGAGTTCTCAAAATTTGGGTGGATTTCAGAAAATTTATATATCAGAAAGGTTTCGAATTCTCAAAAATTTTTGAAACATTTTGAATAATTTTGTTTGAAATAAATACATTTTGAAAATTTTAGAATGTGAGAAGTATTTAAATATTCAACAACTTAAATTAGATTATTTTATAAGAAATGCATCAGTTTATTGAAGAATTCTGAAATCCTGTAAACTTGAACAAGTTTCTGTATTCTTAAAATAAATTCAACACATCACTACCACTTAGCTCGTGAACATCACTGGAATTCCATCAGACTATTCATAATGTTCATAATTATCCAATATCGGATACATTTTCTCACAGAGGTTATTAAGCACGTTTTCAAATTGTTAACTAGAGGACTCAGAAAGTTCATTATCTGGAAACTAAGTAATGTTGCATTCGTGAGCATACCTGCTTCATATCCTGGAGGTACCCAGTTCGAAACATGATCAGGAGACCGGTTAACATTGCTTAAGATCTTTATTGTTTTCCAAAGTCCACAGAAATGTTGAGGCAGCACGCGATTTTCTTTACGAAATGTGTAGGAAGCTTCTGTTTGACATTTCCGTTTTACTTATTACGTCGTCATAGCAACCGACATTGTTTATTTCACTCTTTCTAGTTATCAGGTTCAGCAAAGTGGTGAGAGAAATTTATTCTTCTGATTTTTTCAAAACGTGATGTTGTGGGGATACAGTCCAGCTTTGGATCTGCGCCATGAGTGGGAGCGGTGTAAATACAAAGAATCTGACAGTCTGAAAGAATTAAACGTGTTATTAATTGGCTCTGCAGATGGAAGACATATTCTGAAAACATTAGCCCAGACTTACAGACACGAAAACAAACAACGTATTAATTTGTACGTGTATGAAGCAAGTTTGGATTTAATTGCCAGACAAATTATGTTACTAACCATTGCTCTGGAGCCCCCGGAAGAATTTGATTTGCAAGAAAAGACTCGTATTTTTCTTGAGCTCTATGGCAACTCCGTTCTTCGTCCAAAAACCGCTGACTTCATAGCACGGAAGTCTGCGCAGTTTGTACACATGGTTACAGATCTCGATTTCCAGGTACGGTTACAGTTTATTGTTTGTCCGTTGGCTGTGAAACAGCGTTTTAATTTAAGAGAATACAGTGGTACGTACGGTTATATGAGAAGACAGGCGTATAGTCGGGCATGGTGGGCTTGAAAGGATGGGGAAACAGTATTGATTTAGTATCCACGTCGGACTGAGAAAAACTATGTAAATCATAGGGTCATGATTGTCATAGTAACGGCCGAGATTCGAAGCGGGGACTGTTGTATGAAAGAATATTTATTTATTTATTTATCTGCTTACTCCTTGGCTGTACAGTCCTCTTAAGAATCTCAGTCTCCCTATGGCATTACCTATTTTTCTCCATTATTTGCATTTTTTAGCTTACTTTCCTAAAAAAAAGCTTATGCAATTTCATTCCTGTCTGTGTGCCTGAATATCCCCCCTATCAGCTTTTGAATGCCGGAACCAGTCTTTATTAATATGTATATAATGCAGCTGAGCCAATCTCAGCGGCTTACTTCATAAATCCCTCCCATCAGTCTGTGGATCTGTATGCGAAACCCCATGTCGTTGCTAGGCAACGGCTTGGTAAAAACGTTATTCTCCATATGTTCTCTTTCATCTATCGTTATCTGTCTGTATCTTACAGAAATCTCAATGTGGTCCTTCTATCTTCCGGCTCGATTAACCACCCTTTCTTCCTTTTAGGTGGATAATTGCTTAAAATATGTCGTAACTGTGCCCGTGGATGGATATTAAAATCTCGAAAAGAGAATACATTCGGAGAAGGCAGTATGACCTCTACTTACCTTCTTGTGAGACTAGGCGGATGAATATATTTTTAAATTATACAGATCTATGCATCATTGGACGAGTTACAGATTCCGACTACTCTAAGTCTGTCAAATGTAGCATCAAATGTCTGCAATTGTTTGGTGCCTATCTACTGCTGTATGACGTCATATCCCAGAAGACCATTATCTTAATACGCAAATTTCATTTGGAACATTTTTCGACAAATTTCGCACATTTTACGAAATATAAGGAGTAAGGACAAATAACACATATCTTAATAAACTAAAAACAAACTAATTTACTTACCTCACGGAGCAAAGTCAAGTTTGAGAAGCTCATGATTCTTTGCCGTGTTCGGACGAATTCGCATTTGCATCTGAAAACATCTGAAAGTGTCAACTGTGAGTTCAGGAACATGCAATGTGGAATTTGAACTGTTGATAAGAGTTTTCAATAAGATGTGCGTCTGCGACAGATGAATAGTGCAAAGAGCGCATTCATACGCCCTCGTTTTTCCCATCTTTCCACTTTTTTCTTGCTAATGAACGAGAATTGGGCCGTCTTTTGCAAAGCATTATCAGCATTTTTCCTGTTGTAATCGAGGCTCGGTAATAAACATTTATCTACGTCCATGACACACTATCATTCTTGATAAGTTTACAGTTGCAAAGTTTGTCAACAAAATCTGCGCCTTTACGGAGCCCGAGCGAATGGTCCCTATCGTGAGCCACACGAATCGGATTTGCTTCCTCACAACCTATTTCTTAAAGTCCCATTTTAATATTATCCTCTCATATGCTTTAAGCATTCAATTAAACTCTTGCCTTCAGGTCTCCCTGCTAAAATTTTGCATATATTACTACATGATCTGCCCGTCATATCTTCCTTGTTTTAATCATCCTCTGTGGTCTAGTGGTCAGCGTTCCTGGCTACAGATCCAGAGGTCCGGGTTTATTCCCGGAGCTACCAGATTTTTTCTGAGAAGTACTGGGTCTGGAACGGGGTGCACTCAGCCTCGTGATGATAATTGGGAGTTATTTCAAGGAAATAGCGGCTCCGGTCTAGAAAACCGAAATTAACGGCCGTGGGGTTCGTTACGCTGACCACGCGAGAAGCGGCGGTCTCTTGGTCGGTATAGTTCGCTTGCGGACTAAAATCACGGAGTTTTAATATTTATCAAAGAAAGATAATTATGAAACTCCTAGGTATGCGGTTTTCTTTAGCCTCCTATTACTTCTTCCTTCTTAGGGTTCAAATGTACTCCTCAGCCCCTGTTCTCAAACACTCTCAATCGTGGTATTCTGGTTTGTGACATCCTACAGTTTTGTAGGTGTATATTAACGTTTCGGAGGAACATTCCACTCCCATATTCAGGTTACCTACAAGACAGTGACATGATCCAGAAGAAACTGAACGCCCTGTAGTATTTTTCGCTCACGTTGGGGGACCGAGTTCCATAAACACACAAAACAACACGTAAATGTATAATTTTGTCTACTGTAATACTTGAGCCTGTAGTTTGTGATGTCAGACGGAAAACAGAAGCATCCAACCTGAGTTGTTCAGGCGAATTCCAAACTTTATCTGCTCTTTCTTCGTAAATGTAGTTTTGATTTTTTACTTCCATACTAAATATTTCAACTTTGCTGAACTTTCCAAAAATTTATTACTTGTTTTTATAATGCAATTCTATAATAAAATCTGGCAACGAGACATGTATATAAAAGCCATTTCTCTTATGTGTCTAGAATCATTGTGCCTGTCCGTCCCTGTGCTCAAACATTCGTGTTTCTAAAGGCAATTGTTATTCATATATCACAAAAATGTCAATTTGTGTTCTTCTGATGCAGTGTTTGTGTATGAAGGCGTGTTATGTGGCACAGAATTTTTCAAGTTTTCACGACCTTTTTTTTTTGTACCCCCGTATGAGGCTTCACGTGGCCGCTGAAGGCACATCTACCCTCGTGCCAGAACCGCTAGTATAGTGATAATAATTTACTTTGTATTTCGTTAAATATTAACTAGGACTGAAATCTAACTAATAAAAATATTTCATGAGCTGAGATCTTCATGAGAAACCCCCAGTTGCGCAGCTGCTCAAAAGTTTCCCAACATTGTATGGAACTCCATGGTCCATTGTTCTGTTCACAAGAGCCCTCTACTAGTCCCTATCCTGAGCCAGATCAATCCAGTCCATACCATCCCATCCTGTCTCTTTAAGATCCATCTTAATGCTCGTATAATCCGGCAACGTACGTCTAGGTCTCCCTAATGGTCTCTTTTCTTTTGCCTTTGCCACCAAAATCCTATTTGCATTCTTCTTCTTCTCCTCCTCCCCCCCCATTCGTGCTACATGCCCTGCCCATCTTATCCTCATTGACTTGATTGTTCTAATTATACTTGGCGAAGAGTACAAGCTATGAAGCTCCTCATTACACAGTTCTTTCCAATCTGTTATCACTTCACCCTTCTTTGGTACAAATATTCTCCTCAGCACCCTGTTCTCAAGCATCCAGTCTATGTTCCTCCCTTAACGTCAGAGACCAAGTTTCGTACCCATACAAAGCCACAGACAAAATTATGGTTTTAGCTGAAATGTTCTAAATAACATTTTATGAATGTTAGGGAGACTCATAAAAACATTTCAACTAAAGCCCCGTGATAACTTATCTTTTATTTTACTTTTTGTTGAGTCGGCATAGCGACGGACTACTGGCCGGACGACCGGGATTCGATTTCTGGTAGGGGCAAGATTTTTCTTTTCTCCATAGCGTCCAAACCAGCTCTGAGGCCCACCCAGCCTCCTATCCAATGGATACCGGGGCTCTTCTCCTGGGGGTAAAGCGGCCTGAGTTTGAAGCTAAAGTCTCACCTGAATTTAGTGCTGAGGTCAAGAATGGTGTAGCTATACCTCCACTCCCAACAGGTCTTCATGAGATGGTGCTTAATTAATTAATGAAGCTCAGGGACAACTTTACCTTTACCTCCTAAATAAAATTCAGTTGAAGTCTGAAGAGCAGTTTCGGAGACAATGCTTAAGAAGTGACGCTACTCCGCGTTACGAGTCTACGTCGGTCTCTTCGGGCAGGGAACACATGGCATGAACTGACAATGGATTCCTGTTGCCAGGTTGCGCGGATGCCTCTCCTCCGCCTGGATCAGTTGAAGTACAAGCACCGGGACTACCTGGAGAACGTATTCAAGTTCTGGCAGGTGCCCAGGACGAGGTTCCAGATCTTGCAGCACTGGGACAGGCGCGTCCGTGAACATCTGGGCTCTCGGTATGACAGCCGCGTTGGGGTTTTCGACTGGGATTATCACATGAAGCTTCGCCCCGCTGGAGCGGAGCACGTCACCGCCCGCGAGTACAAGAACTGGAGGAACACAGGCGTGGCCTTCACTTGGCTGGATATGGAAGCCACTGAGCCCAACTTGACTTTAGCCACCGCCCCCGTCCGGGTAAGTCTTCAAGTCATGTATTTATAAACGTTCATTTGTACATTCGTACGTTTTGTCCGTTTCATCATCTTGAAGAATGTGTCGATCTCTCCATCTTAACTATGGGCGCCCTACTTTTCGTCGTACCGTTAGTTTGTATATTAAAATTCGATTTGGAGTCCGCCTGTTTTCCATTCGTAGAACGTGATATTTCCAGTGTGGTCTAGATTTTAGAACTTATTATTATTTTCATGGTCGGATTTCGCTTCATGGCAGGAGCAAGTTATTTATATCTACTCCAGAGTGCCCAGACCCGATCTGCAGCTCGCATAGCCTCCTATTCAACAGGTAACGGGGGCTCTTTCCCAGGGGATAAAGGGGCCAGAACGTGAAGCTGACCTTTCACCTCCATCCAGTCTTGAGGTCAAGAATGTTGGAGCTATATTTCCGCTCGCCCCACACGTCTTCATGGTGCGTAATTAAGTACAGGGGCAAATTTAATTTTATCATTATTTAAATTAAAAATATATAATCAATTTAATGTACTGTACATTATTAGTCTTTGTATAGTTATTTCGGCTCGTTCGCAACGAAGAGCTGCGTCTGTCCGTCCGTTTGTCCATACGTAGCAACGAGAGAAATGCTGAATCGATTTTCATTAAATTTGATATTGTAGAATTTCACAAATATCTGCTGACACACTCGAAGTTTGGTTAAAATCGGACAGTAATACGGAAACCATTACGTGAAGACCTACATGCGTTGCTGTGCGCATGTCGAGCATAATTCGTAAAAATTTTATCGGGGTGAAAAAATTTTCCGGCACTACCTGTCAAGATAAGAGAAATCTGTTTTACGTTCAAGACTTTCTTTTTCCTACGGCAATTGAAGACGAGAAACGCGCTTGCTCTGCCAACTTATGCATAACTCGGGAACCACTGGGCTGATTCGGATCAAATTTCGTATTGGAGGTGAATGGGTGTATTTTATGAAGATGGGCTGGAGCGACTTGGAAGTTCTACGTAAGGCTTTATGCCCGTCCGTGCTTTTGCCTGCGCTCTTCCCACCTCCCACAAGTTTTTCACTGCATATAAGTAGGCCGTTCAAAGTTGACCTAAGCTTTATTTTTTAAATACAGAATCAGAAGTTATCATTCATGTGCTGAATTAATTAAGCACAATGCCATGAAGACGTAATGGGGAGTGGCGTTATGCCTTCACCATTTCTTACGTCGGCACTAGATAGAGGTGAGTGGTCAGCTTCACGCCTCTGTTGCTTTACCCCCTGGGGAAAGTCTCCCCGCACATATTGGATAGTAGACTGGTGGGCCCTAGATTCAGTCTGGGCACTGTGGATAGAATATCTTGAGTCAATGAAAGAGCGAATATATTAGAACTGTAACGCCGTGCAAATATTTCTTAAATCTATTTTTATTGCTAGTGGGGTCGGACTAAGTCCCTTGTCCTGCGGCCACTTCTGGCCTATTGTACCAGCCACAGATGATAGGTGAGGGTGATTGTGGAGAATTTGGTGGAATGAATATTGGCAGGGGAAACCGAAGTACTCGGAGAAAACCGGCTCCAGCGCCACTTTATCCACCCCAAATCCCGCACGATCAGAACTGAGATTGAACCCGGGCCGCTGCGGTGGGAAGCCAGCGACTAACCGCTTGAGCTATGGTGCGACCTTTCTTAAATTTTACTTTCCTTCTTTATTTCCTTCCATAATAATGGAGTAGTAGGTAGCTTACTCATGACCGTGCGGTTAGTCGTCGGCTTCCCACTGCGGCGGCCCGGGTTCAATTTCAGTTCAGATCGTGCGGGATTTGTGGTGGACAAAGTGACACTGGTTCAGGTTTCCTCCGAGTATTTCGATGTTCCCTGCCAGTTCACATTCCACAAAATGCTCCATATTCATCTATCATCCGGGGCTGATACAATAGGCCAAATTGCGACCGGTGTACCAAGCGGACTCAGTCTCACCCCACCCCAAGAAATTAAAAAATATATATATGGTATTTTCCTCAATCCGAGTTTCTGTTTAAACATGGGAACCGGAATTTCTGTGTCTGAGATTCAAGTTTCTCAGGGCAATGAGAAGCCTATTCACGAAACGGTGATGGCTGCCTACCAAACTACAAGACGACTCTTCACAGAAGAGGGTGTAATCTTAATGTATATAGGAATTACTGGGCAACACAATGCTTCGGAGGCTGGATCTGTTTGCGTTCTGAACTGGTCTAGTCATTGAGGTTAGCTGTTTCTAAGGGACCCGACATAGTAGGTCTTTCCCCCTCACCTGAGGAGGGAAACAGGTCCGGTTTTTTTAAACGCTGTGTTCCTTAGTTAGTTGACCGCCTCTGTAGTCTAGTGACCAGAGTTCCTGGCTACAGATCCAGAGATCCGGGTTCGATGTCCGGCGCTACCAGATTTTCTGAGAAGTAATGGGTCTGGAACGGGGTCCACTCAGCCTCATGAGGATAATTGAGGAGCTATTTCAAGGAAATAGCGGTTCCGGTCTACAAAACCGAGATTAACGGCCGTAGGGAACCGTTGCGCTGACCACGTGACACCCTCTATCGCAAAAAGATGGCACTAACTTCGCCGACAAGCGGCGGTCGCTCGGTCGGTATAGTTCGCTTGTGGACTACAGGTCACGGAGTTTGTTTCTGTGTCCTCTAGTTTTTAGAATACCGGACGATGGACAGATTTCAAAACCCAAATAATTCTGACTGTTATGCACCATCGTCAGGTCCATTTAGAATATACTTATATTTCTATGTTGATAGCTTAGTCGGTATAACTACTAGAAAGAACTGGTCGACCGCGGACTCGGAGTTTGCTTCCTGGTAGACGAAAGAGATTTCTCTGTCCAGAGCTACCCTGGAGCTCACGTAGTCTCACATGCAATGTTTGCCGTGGGCTGTTAACCGGAGTGTAAAGCGACAGGTGCCCGAAACTGACCACTCACCTCCACCTAGTGCCGAGGATAACAATAGTGGAGCTACAAATGCTCTTCTCCGAACAATTTAATGGCGTGATGCTGAATTAACTTTACGTGTTTACCTCTCTTTTATGAGCCCTGTATCTTATGTTTGTTTGTCCTCCCACTAGATCGGCGATAGACTGTGTCATCATGGCTACCTGGGGGATATCGTCACCGGGCCGTTCCTCGCCTATTGCCTGGACTGCGCGGATAAGGACATGTTGCGAGTCGTGAACGGCGTTCAGTCGAAGCGTGCGGCCGACATTGCCGAGCGCAACGTCTTCAGAATGATGCATGAGTTGCTTTACGGCGAGCCGTTCATTGCTTCCAGGTGTGTCTGGATTCGTTTCGTGTCATGCGTAATATTGTCACGTTGTAGGGGAGGGGGGGCCTTTGAGTATTGCTGGGATCCAAGGCTGGCGGCCATTTCGCACCAACCTCCTAGTCCTCTCTTCACAGGCTGAATTTCAACTGAACACTGAACTCTCACTTAACAACGAACTACTACGTCACGCCACTTCATGCAACTGAACTGCTGACAACATCCTACTCCGGAAATCGACTTACCTTGCTTATAACATTTCAGCACGAACCACATAGGAAACACCTTTTCCATTGTCATAGTCCAACAATACCTCGGCTGTTGCATGCGCATCCGTTGCAAGGGGAACCCATTTACCAAACAGGTGGCCAGAAACGGATTGCACAACTCTGTTGTTCTATTGTTGCGTCCGTTACGGAATCTGCTTAGAGTCACTATTTAGCAACGGGTCTATATACCACAATATATTAAAAGAAAAATCACATCATGTGCTTCTCGTCATATACAATATATACGTAGTTCATTCTATGGAATTACCAACACTGCCGTATTCTGTGATGTGACTTCTCGAAGTTTGGTAGGAGCTAGCTACCGACTTTCCTGAGGAACGTGTTTCTACCATCTTCAGGGCAGAAGACGGTCCTATTTCACTCTGAACTTGGAGGCAGTACATTCCTCTGAAGAGCCTGTAAACGTCTACCAGATTATACGGCGCCACATCCAAGAAGACAGTAACCTTCATAGTCATCACCGTGACAACCTACTTATTTCTTTATTAAGAACTGCGCCATGACGTATGGGGGAGCGGAAGCATAGTTCCACATATTCTCAATCTCGCCGCTCATGGAGACAGGCTTTCAGGCCCCTGCCGCCTTACCGCCGGGGAAAGAGCCAACGGTACCTATTGGATAGATGGACCGCAGAGTCGGTCTGGACGCTGTGAAGAAGACAGAAGCCTGCTTCTTCCGGGAAATCGAAACCTGACTCCCCGGCGGTCCAGCCCGAATGCCCGTCACTCTTCCTCTACTTAAGCAAATCCAACGATACGTGAAAATCCCCTAAAGCAAATTTATTTTTCCTTATATATTTTACTTATTGTAGGCAACATTTTGTGTAACAAGGAACCGCTACGTGTGTTTGTACAAGTCACTGTTGAATAACTTGTATTGCCTATGGAATAGCTCAGTCAGTATAGTGACTGGCTATAACCGATATGTCAGGGTTCAAATCCCGACAGATGGAAGAGATTTTCTCTTCTTCACGGTGTCCAGACCGGCTTTAGGTTTCAGTTACTTTCTTATCTGATGGGCGCCAGGGTCTCTTTTTTCCGCAATAGAGCAACCGGGACGTCATGCTAACCAGTCACCTCCTTCTAGTGTCGAGGTTAAGGCTGCGCGGAGCTCCAAGCCAACAAAACTCTTCACGTTGTCGTGCTTGATCAAGCACAAGGACAACTTTGATTTTATTTGTACCGCAGAAACCCACAGTCCCAGTAGGACAGAGGGACTTGCGCAAGACAGTTTCCGGCTTGCGTAAAGTTGGACTTACATAAAGGTTTGCGAAAACCTAGTCCTTACTAAAATTGGCGATTGTCTGTACCAGCCGAGCTCTGGACCATAACGGGATGAATGTGCTAATGGTGACAGCATGACGGCAGTGTTACCTGGTTCTACGCTAGACGTCGCTTACTTATCCTCTACCAAGGTTACTTACTGCTTCTGTGTGATGTCACGGCATATTGCAGATGCCACATGCAGACCCCAAACTGGCTGGAGCAGGAGTAAAGCTCTTCACTCCAATTCGAGGGATACTCTTTATGAATATCGGCCGAGACATCAGCTCTAATAAATGAGGTTTCACTCAGTCCCTACAGACAAATTCCAAGGTAGTACCTCGTTTAAGTCACGACCTCTTCCTTCCAAATTCTTTCCAATTCATCATTCATCTATCATTCTATTATTCGACGCTATAGTCTATCGAGATGCTGGGAGGTGTATTTGATCTTTAGTATAGGCACATGACAAAACATGTTGCTGTCAAATTAGGTGACCAAGGAGATGAGACAATGAACAATTCTCGGCCAATCCATGCACGGCGGGAGGACTCTGTGATCCTTTTGCTGCACAAGAAAATGCAGACATGCTGTTCCCCGTATTGTGAGATTTCTTGTGGGCCTGGCTTAATGGTCGCGCTATCCCGGCATTTGATGGAGGTACTGAGGAAAATTTTTAAAATTCTCAGTCATGATAGCCGACGACCCGACTGGGAATCGAAATGACTACTTCTCGATTACAAGCCTAGAGCATTACTGCTAAACTAACTCATCGTCTGGTTTGCAGCTGATGTGGAACGCGGGCTCATCTCTAGCACATAGCTCACAGATCATAGCTCATCGTGAGCTGATTGTTTAAAAGTAAGGCGAAGTTTAGAAAAACTCTTTATTGTACTAATTAGGGCCGCGCCATAGCTCAAGCGGCTAGTCGCTGGCTTCCCACCGCGGCAGCCCGGGTTCGATCCCGGGTCTGGTCAAGTGGGATCTGTGGTGGACAAAGTGGCGCTGGGGCAGGTTTTCTCCGAGTACTGCGGTTTCCCTTGCCAATCTTCATTCCACCAATTGCTCCACAATCACCCTCACCTATCATCTGGGGCTGGTACAATAGGCCAGAAGTGGCCGCAGTACAAGGGACTTAGTCCCACCCCACTAGCATTAAAAAGAAATTATACTCATTGATTCTTTCCTCAACAGGCAGGCGAATGAAAGCAGTGAAAGTGTTGTCATCACAGAAGTCACAGATGTAGTGAAAAGGATGCAGGAAGACTCACGCGATCTCCTTGACTCCAGCAGCTGCGAACGGGACCCAGCAATCAATGGAAAGAGAGAAGCTGCGTTTGCAAAAGAAACGTATTCGGCAATTCCCATTGATTCTGCCGAAGTGATCTTCTTGCCAGTGTCGGCTATCACGGATCTTCCGCGCAAGGACAAATACAAGAACTTCTTTCATATCATCACATTGTCACAAAAGATGACTCAGTTTCTCACAGAAGACCTCATGCGCCTGGCTTGCGAAGGAGGTCTTCTCGTCGTAGAGGGGAAAGTATTTCTTCCTGAACTCAGGAAGGAAAATTTGATCGAGTTTGCTAAGAATTTAAATTCCACAGCAGAAGCTTGTCACTGTGTTCCTGCAACGGAATTTAATCCTTTAAAAGATTCGGTGGCTATGTTCAATGTGAAAAGAACCTCAAATCCTACTTCACTCTAAACTCTCACATGAATACAGGCAGTATCTGTTCACTTTTAGTCAGAACAAGGGAAAACATTGCCAAGAAATTAATATTTTTTAGGAAAATAATTTCTTTTTTAAATCCTTATTAGCGGGTTTATGTTTATTTTGACCCCCTGATTCGGATATGAGCCGCAGTATTAATATTTTTTCTTGAGAATCCGTATGAATAGCATGTGATTACAGGTTATTAATCTTTATACCGAAAGTAAAAGTTAAAGTTGGCGATGTGCTTATTTAAACATCCTTAATTTCTCCACAGGAGATGAGCTCTCAATTATATAAGATAATCTCACGTTTCGTAGCTCTCAATTTAAGCAAAGTATAAACACAACAGCGCTGTGACAATATTATGTGTATTTTTGTCTGTTTATCTGTCATATAAGACACAGTTACCAAGTGGTTTTAGTCGTTAAGTATGTCGCTTGACTGTCCTCGCTTATCTATGACTTCCTGTGAGCATGTCTTCAATGTGACTGCGCGTAGGCTGCACCTCCGTGTGTTTTACTTGTGGAAACTGCAAAGTAATTCCATGGAATAGAATCTTTTTTGAAAACCCAATAATAGCTTAATTTGCCCAAAAGTTCTCCAATTTTCATTGAACCCAAACGCTCATTTCCATGATGATTGCTGCATATATTATGGTAAGAGACGCCGTGTATTCTGGTAGTTCTGCTGTAGTTTCCGACGGATATTCTCCCGCCATCGTCAAGTAGAATAGTGCACAGAAGTAAACCGAGCGATGAAAGCGTCGAAGGGTGTGGGGAGAGAGACACCCCCCCCCCGCTCGGGGTGTATGGTCTACCACATTACAAGGCGACACAAGCCGGAACACCACAAAATGAATCTTCACCGCCGTCACGTCTTATAGAGAGTGTCTCAGAATTAAATGTATATGTGTCGACTGAACTCTGAAGATGGTTTTACTATATTTCTCCGAAACACTGACAACCATTGACCATGCTACATGATGTCTTGACCCAGCAGACCTCAATATGAACCGTGCATTTTGAGAAATCAAATTTTGGAATAGCTTACTTTTGCCCTCGTAACAGCGCGCCTAGCGGCTTGCATGTTCCCGCGCTGCATGGGACCTACCGCGGTTTTGCGAGTCGCTAATTGGAAGTGTATTGAATTTCTTTTGAAAATGGCGACGGTGTTAAGTATGCACTCCACGCCAGACTGCGCACAAGGTCGACACCGGGTTATATCCTTAAATTATGGTTAGTTACTTCAAACGAGGCAAGCAGCTTACAGAATGAATAAGGAACAAGCCAGCGGGACTGGTATCAAGGCAAGCGAACTCGAACAGCACTACCCTTTATTGCAGGTAAGAAAACAGAAATGTTTATCCTGAGGTCAGATTCTGCATTATTTATATTTCGATAAGATCAGTTGGAGCGATTATGTGAGAAATGAAGAAGTGTTATTTAGTGTCAGTGAGCAGAGGAATATCCTACACGAAATAAGAAAACGGAAGGCTAATTGGATTAGTCATATCTTACGCGGTAACCGCCTTCTAAAAGTAGTTATTGAAGGAAAGATAGAGGGGCGGATAGAAGTGACCAGAAGAGGAGGAAGAAGACGTAAGAAGATGCTGGATGACCTTGAGGACAGAAGAGGATATTTTCATTTGAAGGAGAAAGCTCTAGATCGCATCAAGTGGAGGCACTGTTTTGGAAGAGACTATGGACCTGTCATCTGACAGATTACTGATGAATGAATGAATGAATGAATGAATGACTTTTGGATATTTACATTGTGGTATATTTTTGAAATATTTAAATTGAGGTATGGCTTTCGGATATTCTGCTGACGTATGAACATGGGATATTTTACTGAGATTTGAATTTGGCGTACTGCGGCATTTTGACATTTATGTGGATGCATGACTTGGATAGTTATGCTGAGGTGAGGTTTTAGGATTATTCATATTGAGGTATGACTTCGGGATATTAATATTGCGGTATGACTTAGATATTTACACTAAGGCATGAATTCGAGATAATTAAAGTGAAGTATGATATTGGAGGCGATATGTTCCTCCGAAACGTCGGTTCACTTTCAACGGACTACATATCGTTATATCCCAGAAGATAGAATTCGTCACAATCACCGCTGTAAGAATCTCAGAACCTGCACAATAATGGCCGAAGTCCTATAGCCTGAAGAAGGCTAACCTATCTGACTTTGTCCATTATGCATGGCCAGTATTGGCATCAACTGGTCTTTATCAATATCGGTCTCATATCGGACATTGCTGTAACTTTCAACCACACAGTGGCGTAGTGTTTCTGTTTTCAAATGTCATTGTGTAGTGACTGGCTATGTACTTGAAGGCTAGAATGCGCTTCCCAGCAGCGCCAAGAAATATTTCTCTACATCCCCGTGTAGAGACCGCCACTGGAATCAAACCAGCCTCCTGTGTAATGGATACCTCTAGCTACTTCCCAAAGTGTAAAGCGGTCGGAGCGGAAGGCTGACCGCTTGCCTAACATACTTTCGCAGCAGTATTGTTTTCACAGAGCAAGTCCGTCAGCATTGTATCCAACCTCCCAACTTGGAGGACAGAGTCCCTGTATTTATGAACCCCAGTGACAGGGTGTCCCAGTTATATTCCCAGGCACCAGGTTCCATTTTCGTGGCCTCCCACGACTGACAGGGCTATTCTAACCCGCCTCCACAAGGGAGAGACAATTCTAAAGTTTTCCTTGAAAATCCTGAGCCACTTAGCTACGTATCGCCTCTGCCACTTAAGATATTTCTGCAAACTCGTTAACTCCCTTCACCTTAATTTGCTGGTCCTTCGTCATGGCGCTGAAGGACGAGCGCAACCAACCTTTGCAGTTTCCTTCTGACCATAATTAAGACCTGAACTGAACAATGGATTCAAATTAGTCTCAAATTCTGAAACAAAATAAAGCAAAAAATTTAAACTTCTTCCTGTGCTCAGTTCAGTACTACGACATGAAGACGTATGGCGTGACCGGAGATATAGCTCCACCATTCTGAACCTCGACTGTAGATAGAGGTAACAAGCTTCATGGGACGGTAACTTTAACCCAGGGGAAATAGCCAGCGGTGCCCACTGGATAGGAGGCTGGACGGGCCTTAGAACCGCTCTGAACGCTGTGAAGAAACGAAAAGTTTCTTGCCCCTGCCGGAAATAGAAGTCTGATTACCATATCTTACAGCCCGCGGCCTGCTCACTGTACTAACAAGAGCTATCCCCCCCCCCAAAGAAGCAGATAGGTAAACCTGCGAATATAATGAATAAGCAGTCGCGGAGAGCCGACAAAGGGTGGTCCTATAGCTTGGGGTTGGGCGTGGGGCTAACAATTCCTCACAGTAAAAAATAAACCTGTTACGAAAATGTACACAAAGCCTCAGACGCTCTCAGCCACTGACTCTCTGGATAGGCGACCTAGGGCATAGAAAATGGACAAGAAATTCGGTACTTGGAAAATAGGATTGGATGGTATGAGCTGGATTAATGTGGCTCAGGATAGGGACCAGTGGCTTGTGAGTACGGTAATGAACCTTTGGATTCCATAAAATGCAGGGAAATCCTTGAGTAGCTGCTCCTCAAGAAGGGCTCAGCTTCATAAGTAAGTAAGTCCCAGTAGGAGTAAGAGGTTCTCTTCTCCCTTACGTCCAGACCGGTTCTGGGTCCCAATGGTACCGGAGGTTCTTACCCCGGGGTAACGGGGCAGGGGCGTGAAGCTGACCGCTCACCTCCACCTAGTGCCGACGCTATGAACAGTGGAGCTATATGTCCGCTCCCCCCTACTTCTTCACGGTGTGGTGCTTAATTAATCAAGGCCAGGGATGACGTTACCTTCACCAAGTTCCTTCATCTACAGGGGCACACTCCTAGAAATGAAAGTGTTGGGGCGCTCTAGAATAAAGAAATTAGCACGAATCACGCTGTGAGGTTCTCACAGCGGTGGTCATAAAGAGTTCTTTCATTTGAAAGTTACCTGACGTTTCAAAGGGACACGTCGCTTCCATCTTCAGAGTGTAAGTGTAAGCCAAGTGGAGAGGCCTTGCCGTAGCTCAGGCGGTTGGTCGCCGGCTTCCCACAGCTGCATCCCGGGTTCTAGCCCAGGTCAGGTCATGTGGGATTTGTGGTGGACAAAGTGGCTCTGGGGCAGGCTTACTCCGACTACTTCGGGTTCTCTTATCAATTCTCATTCCACCGACTGCTCCACACTCATCATCTATCATCCGGGGCTGGTACAGTAGGCCGGTTAGTGGTCGACGTTCCAAGTGGACTCAGTTTCACCACACCTCAAGAAACCCCCCCAAAATTGTAGAAAACTATCCTGAAGCACGTAGCAAGTAGCGCCTGACCCTGAATATGGCGGTGACATGATCCTCCGAAACGTCAGGTAAATTTCAACGAATTACACGGCGGTAGAATTCTTCGTAATGCGAGGTTTCTCCTCTGTTTACATAACGCCAGTTTCGTCCTTCAAATGCAGAGCTGTACGATAACTATTCACGGAAAGCGCACTCGGCTTTTGAGGACGCGACGCTTGAAGCAGGAAGGTTATCATTCTTACAATTGCATTGGACGTAGAAGCTTTAATTAAAATATTTCCAAAATTTGTATCTTTTTTTCGGGAATACGAGTATAATGTTCTGTTATTGAAGAGAAAATTTCTTTTACAAAAACAATAAGCAGAACAGGGTCTTTACTACATTTCAATGGTAGTTCCTTGTGTCTCACAGGATTGTCTCAAGAAATCCTTATCTTGGTAGATCCCTCGGCTAAATGGAGCACAGCCTCCTACCTTGACTACAGCCCTGGCGACACGCCTTAGGCGTTCTAAATGTTCCACGAAATTAAGTTTACGTCAGTCGGTGCAGCGATAGGCTACAGGCTGGACGGCCCGGTTTCGATTCCAGGAAACGCAAGATTTTTCTCTTTTCGGCAGTGTCCAGACAGCTCCTGGGGTCCACCCAGTCTCCTATCCAATGGGAAATCAGGGCTCTTTCTCCGGGTGTAAAGCTGCTGGGACTTGAAGCTGACCACTCACCTCCATCTAGTGCCGAATTCAAGAAAGTTGGAACCATACCTCCACTCCCCCTATATCTTCATGGCATAGTGTTTAACTAATTAAGCACAGGGAGATATTTACCTTTAGTTTACATAGTTTACATTTCGCCATGGAGAAATTTACGAAGAAACTTTTAACATTCCATTTTGTTCATGTAACCATTTTACCGGAATTGAGTTTCATCTCAGAACCAGTGGTAATGTAAACGTCCCTAGTGGCTTCAATTCGAACTCTGCACTCATTCGGAAATCCGTTTCATCGTGTTGTGATGATAACGCCCTATGATGGCTGACTCGGCTGAATTTTGTATAAAAACGATAAACAATGACGGTAGACTTTTCTTACAGTGCTGTTTGTGATCCACATCTCTAGCGAGAGGCGTCATACTTACTTGTCACTCTTCTTGTTATTGTGATGAATGTCGTATTGACGTCTTCAATATCATCATCATTCCTAGAACCAGATTATTCAGTCTGTTAAGGATGTCACAAAAGAGAATCCTTCCGTCGTTTCATACGTCATGATATTTACATAAAATTAGGCACGGGGTTTAGATTGGTAATTGGATTTATTGGTCTCTTATAACTCGTAAATACAAATAATTATAACGATATCGCGAATCTACGCACTTAAAAATCACTACAGCTTACTCTGTGTCACTCTATTGTAGCCTTCACT